CGTCTTTTCACTCTGCTGAGTTGCGGAGGTGAGAACTCACTAAACGTGGATGGTCAGCATAACACAGGTGCTCCTGTCACACTAGCTCTAACAGCTCTCCCAAATAGAATGACCCACGCACCTCTATCATACACAGGCACACACATGCACACACCACGAAGGGATTGAATGAAAATTCTTTTCTGCTGAATGTTGCAGGGGCTGTGATGTGGAGGTCAACGGTGACAGAAGGCCAGAATACAGATGGACTGCAAGACCAAAAAGGGCTGTGATAAGGCACAGGAGAGGGCACAAGGGTCCAGAGGAAATGACAAGGGAGAGGGAAACCAAAGCAGGGACAGACATGATGGGCCACACACTGAGCTGGTAGGCAGTGGGAGATAACACACACTGCCCAAGTCTTTTCACTGGGATTCATAAACTATAGCAGGAGTTCTTTCATTTGGAGACACAAAGCTCTCTAGTACTCATCCCCTGGCTCTCTGATGTGGGAGCAGCTATTATATGCTTTCCCCAAGATACTGAAAAGATACTTAATAGATAGATATTAATCTGATACTGTTGTTAATCCATATTAAGACACTTTCACAAATATGAAATTGGATACAATTGAGTGAGTATAACCAAATACAGGGGATGTCAATTTCTGCCACATAGTGGAAGGACATTGTAGATATGGTATCTATTATAATTCTATCAGAAACAAGCTGCAATCCAGCTGCATACTATATATTGGTAAAAAACCTGAGCCCCATTTGTACTGGATTTATTTCTCTACGAAAGGTTGGATGATTTTAATATTACATGGGCCTGGTCAGTGATTTTAATCTTGCCCAGGGCAGATAGATGTGATTTTTTTCTAGCTCTACTTTGGTAATAATTAAAGCTCCAATTACCAACTGCTATTCAGCACACTCATTGGCCCACTTTAATAACTTACGTCCTTTTCTATGAGACACCTTATATTTTACTTTTATTAGCTCAGCACATAGTTTATAGTTCTGTGTAACCGTGGAAGAAGCAACATACAGTCCTATTTGGGAGTGTGGATAATGAGGAAAAAAAAAAGGCATAATGAGAGAAAGAACTCTCATCTTCATAAAATAGGCTGATCTAATTTCAGCTAAAGGTAATTATTCTATCTTCTTTTAACTAATTTCATGGGTAGTGGACTACATGTATTTAAGACCATCACCTCTCAGACTCCAGTTCTCACCTTACTGTGAAGGTATAAAATGAAATTAGAAAAAAAAAAGATAATTTGATAACATTATATTAATAACAATAAAAAATGATAATTTGAAATTGAGATCATTGCCTCTTAAAGAACCAGATCACATAATTTGGCATTGGATAAATTATAGGGCAGAAGGTTTTTCTACCACCCCCTCCAACTGGAACATTAATCCTGTCCGTACTCATGTAAACAACTTAACTGAAACATTTTCTTATTTAGAATAAGATCAAGAATCAATTTAAACATTTCCTTAAAACACAGAGAAATATCTAAATTCCCCATTATAAATAATGTACCTTTAGTAGTAGTGCACGGCTTTTCCCTGACATTTTAATTTACCCATTCTAGCTGTTTACTCTGACATGTCCCACTTTAATGGTTTCACAGGGATATTGTATTAGGGGTGTGACGATACACTTAGCTCACGAGAGGAGACAATACACAACATTGGGTTCACGAGAACAAGACGAGATGATATTTTAATATTATGTTTAAGAAATCTTCAATGAAAAAATATACGACTGAAAAAAATACTTATTATACAGTCATGAGTCAAATACTTTATTTGACTGAAAGTCACAAAATGCAAAGCAGTGCAGGTGCTTTTGAAATGTTTTAACTAATCATCTTGTAATGAATGTCACTTCAGTTCGACTTTCTGAGCATGACTTATCATGTGTAGTAAAAGACAACAATATGCGAGCACTGCAAAAGGTTTTGCCATAGACTCAAGTGACTGGCTTCTCTCCTGCATGATTTCACAAGTCTCTTCGGACCCTAGAACTGTGCACGAGCTAAGAATAAGCTTCTAACTTCTAAGTGAAGCTGTGTGTGGCCATATATGCTATTTTCACCCTCAATGCACTGCACTAGACCAGTGACATCATCTGCCAAAGGCGATGCATTGACCAATCATGTACGGGGGATGATTGTTGGGGGACATGGACACCCATGGGAAGAAGACTTCTCTGCCAAAGGCGATGCATTGACCAATCATGTATGGGGGATGATTGTGGGGGGACATGGACACCCATGGGAAGAAGACTTCTGTTTACCCTGTTAGCATGAGCATTCACTGCTACTGTCAAATCTGGGCCACAGTTAACACACCATAATAACACGCCATGCATTTTCATTAGTGCTGGATGTTAAGCAGTGTTTTTTTATCCATCAGTGTCAAAACACTGGTGGTAGAACTGGTGCTAAGGTAGAGTAGGTTACATTAGTAAGCACGGCTAACCAAAACACAACAGGACCTCATGGGCTGGAAACATGAATGAAGCCACTCACGTTAACTCGTCACTAACGCAGCTCCATGCATTAAAACACAGCAGAGAGTTGCGTTTTTGCCAGAGTACCGATATTGCAAGATGGCTTTTACCGCTACAAAAAATATCATCACATATTAATATTGAGATCTCATCACACCCCTATAATGTATATTGAAAAATATGGAAATGACCTATTTTATTATATTACAGGACCAAAGCCTGTTGACAAGTGCCCTAGGACAGATGAGCCTATCTTCTGATTTTTATTTAGTTTCCTACCAACACCCAGTGAGCAGCACCATTGTCTTTGTCCTCTAATTGAAAACATTCTTGTGCTGTCTTTATCTCCTGTTCTAGCCCACAGAGACTGAAGTCAGTGCCATCCTGGCACGCTCATATGTGTGCGCCAGTGTACGCGTGTGTTTGCCTGGGAGGCTGCTGGAGCCACTGAGCATATTAAAGACCTGTTTACTCAGCTGAGGCTCCATTTGCCTTCTTCCCAATATAAAAGTTGCACACACAAACACCCACAGGAAGACACAGGCATGTGCAACACATGTAAAGGGACCAGCAATGAAAAGTTGAAATAATGCGATGGTAAAGGAGGATTATTCTTACTAAGTTTCCCTCTCTCTCTCCACAGCTTATCATAATAATAAGGACAGTGTAACCTTTTCAGTGAAAGAACAAACAAAAGACCCCTCCCCACTGCAGGAATGATCATGATGCTTTATCTTTAGTTATCTGTTCTTCCTGTGGTGAAGACCTACTAAAACACCTAGAGAGGATCCTAGTGTTTTATTCCTTTGTCCTACAGTAGCACGTTTAAGCACTTACCAGTTATCAAACTGGAAACTGTGTGGGATTTTAAACAATTCATTGCCAGTCAGAGAGAAGCCCTGTTTGATGTGTATTAAGTGGGGATAAGAAGCAGAGAAAGCAGGAACAGATTGTCACTTAACAATATGATGAGTCTTATTTTGGCACACAACAAAGGTAGCAGAAAATATCAGAATTAGAATATTGCAGTCTGCACGCTTCTTTTCTGCTTCAAAGCAAAACTGGAGAATTAAATACAGCAAGGAAAACTAAAGCTGCCATATTGTAATCAGAAACACTGTGATATTTATCATTTTCTGGGCAATTTTTCATGTGCTTAAATATTTTTTGCATTCAAATAAGCTCAAACTTCAAAGGGATGATACAGTTACAGTAGCAAGGACACAGGCACATGACGCACATCCTGCTTCGTTATAAATCTGTTCATTAATGTACAAAATAAACTAATTTCCAGAGCTAACTCCATATCAAAGACATGAGTGAAATACTTTTAAGTGTTTGCTTTGGCACATCACTCATGTCCTCCCTGCCCAGTGAACCAAAACCTTATCAGACACAAACAAGCTGCCCATGCTCAACTCCGCTTTGAGATATGTCTCGTCCACTGAGCGTATGTTTTATGAGGTGATCCAAGCAGTGTGTGACTGGCCTGTTGGCTGGAGGACAGAACGCTGGTCTCTTTGAAGTCCAATCCTGACAATGACACGGCTGCTGACTCTGAGTCCAGTGACTCATGGTGAAGCAACAGGCAGACTCATTTGTCCCAAGAAGAACGGTATCACTATATCATCTGTGGCTTTTTACAGGAAGTCAGTCAATAGTGCTAGCATTCTTCAGTAAATTACAGAGTTTTATCGATTTTCTTACTTCAGCTTCTGTTTTTGCAAGTGATATGTCAGTAAGAGTACACAGTCTGAAAGGGGTTAAATGAGTAGGAAAGGGAGTGATCACGTGTCTTTGAAGTGTCTGTTCCAAGATTTCACATGAACAGCTACACCTGCACACAGACACTTGAGGGTCACGTCAGCCGCTACACTCATGCTGCTACACTCATGCTGCTATACTACTGTCATGTTGTATCTCCTGTCATTCTACCTGTCTTTGTCCCTACCTGTCTGCTTTGCAATGTGCCAGATTTTGTCTGCTCTTTTTAATGTCTGCCTTTCTGCCCACTTACCTGTCACTCACTTTTAATTGTCTAGCTCAGTATCTATTTGTCTTCATGCAGAGTTCGTCTTTGACACGAGACCCTGCTACGGCTGTGGGAGCTGTCTGCTGGGGCGCCCAGGGGTGGATTCATCTTATCCAGAGTGTAATGTGCATTGTGTACAGCTTAATAGGGCTATTTATTGCCTCCTGGCAGCCTAGCCAGGTGAGCTCTGGCAGTATGAGCTATCATTAGTTTGAAACAGTCACTCAGATTGACATCTGTGCCTACACGCCTCCTTTGCATTAAGTGCAGCCTGTCACATCACTAATACACACATACTGGTATGCACAAAGGTACACACACACACACAAAACTGGTTGTTCATATATTACAACACAAAGGGAACAGGAGATATAATCTTATCACTGTCTTAAGACCCTTTACTCCCCTGATATACAGTGTACTCTAGCCTTTTGGATAATATTCTAGTAGATGTGCATACCTCCCACGAGGAACATCAGTGTCATCTTTCCTCCAGCGTACATTCGGTTGGGGGTCTCCTTGTACCTGGCAGCGGAACTCCACTGTTTCCTCTTCCAGGACCACTTGATTGATCGGCCTCCGGAGGAAGGTTGGTCGCTCTACAAGATGGGCACCACAGAAGAGAATTCAAGTATTTCATTATGTCAGTTTGTCACAATACAGCGCTTGTATTATTCCATACAGCGGTCTGTTATTAGAGAATAGTCCCCTCTATTAAAGACATATAGCAATGGCATTAAGGCACTGCCTGAGCTCATAACCGGTTCCTTTTTGGCAAGGCAGAAACTGAGGTCTATTCAGGCAACCTGTTCATTACATTTTGCTCTGCCTTTGTGAAACCTCATGACAGCTTAATGGCTAAATATCAAAAATGATTTACAGTGGATGTGCTCCAGATTGTATGCAACTCAGCGGGCAGAATGAGGAAAAAAGGCTCTGGGACAAAATGTAACTATGAAAACATTTGCCCTGAAATTCTTTGCACTATTGAGCCTGACATACATGGGAGAGGTGTCACAGAAGGAGAATTAGTAATTAAGAAAGCTGAGTAACATGTTTGTATGTCACTCTGCTACATCAGTGAAGAGAAACTGAAGTTTCAGGAAAACAGGAAAAGTAAAGCTTACCAAACACCGTGACTTGTGCTGTCTCACTGTCCCTTTCTCCAACCATGTTGGTGCCCACACAGATGTACATGCCAGCGTCACTTTTTCTTGTGTTAGAGATCATTAATTTTCCTCCACGAATCTAAAAAGAAATGAAAAAATCCTTGTAAACACAGACAACATCATGAGATCTTGAACCTTTCCACAAAACTGAGTTCCAAGTCCCCTTTTTTATTCCATGCATTGAAATCTACCTGTCAAACCATTATGAGTCACAAGTGCAGCAATAAAAGAATGATCCCTCTCTGCCAACACATGAAAACACTGTCAAATGTCTTAATTGGCAGACTACTTTGTATGTGACCAGACAGTTATGAGATCCACAATCGAGGCTGACAGTAGTTTTTTTTCTATTCAGCCCAGTTGTTAAAACAAATGGCAGTGATACTCACGGTGATCCTGTCATCCTTGTCATCAATTCGCACTTTGTCCTTCTTCCAGTAGATGGTGGGTTCAGGATGGCCTCTGGGAGGAACACACTCAAGGATGGCTGGCTCTCCTGCTGCCACCACTACATCTGTTGGGTTTTGTCTGAAGTCATCTCGCAGCACTGAAGGAAAAACACAGGAAAATGTTCATTTGTGTCACAGTTTTTAAAGTTAATTTTAAATGCCTCAATTTTTAAGTTTGCCATTTTTATGTCTCCTTGAATATCTCCTTATGTATATACAGCGCATGGCTTTTTAAATGGGATGTGTAGCTTCATGTGACTAGGCAAGCAGACGTGAAAGCTAATTGGAGGTAATGTCGGTCCCTGTGGAGTTAGCAGAACAAACACACACAGAATGCCTTGAAGCCTGGTGTCATTTACATGTGAGAGCTCACAGGGGTGCGGCACTGCTTCACTTAGCTTCACTTAGCATGTACACATACACACAAGCAGGTATACTGTACATGCTAACGCACAAAAAACAGTTGGTTGTCTGATGAGCAACTTCTGCCTCGCATGTAATCACCCCCAGGCAGGCCTTTAATCACAGAGATAGCCTTACACTGGCTCGTTGTCAAACAAGAAGAGCTGCTGTCACACAAACACAAAGATGAGCACACAAATGTAAATGTGGACATACAAACAATCACAAACAGCTAACTGTAAGAAAGAAGCTGGGTATTCTACTCGCAGCATACAGCTTCCATACCAATGAATGAACATAAAAAAATATCCATTATGTTCAAAAGCAGGTTTAAAGTTACAGACTGGGAATCACTCTGGCCCTCCTGCTGTGGGTACTCAGACAGATCTTTCTCCATTTGATGTACAATAAATTGAATCCATGAAGTAGCTCTTCAGGAATTTGAGCTTCAGCAGTGTCCATCAGTGAAGGACACATGATTCCTCTGATGGATAAAAGGACTGAGCTTGTTGGAGGATGTTTGAAGATGCTTGAGGACAGATAAATTAAGGGCACCACCACAGGACCTTATGTAAATTCTACATGGCACAGAGGACAATGACAGGGAGAGCCGAGATTACAAGAGGGGATAACTGGTTCATGCGCTTCAGGCTTCTCTCATCTCTTCATTCACTCTTCTTACCCTCACTACAGAAAGCCACACAACCATTGTCTTCTTATTTATTTATTTAAACCAAGGGGAAGCAGGGTGGAGGAGGAGAGAAAGCTTTCAACCCAATTATCCTGGGGATGCACAGGGATACAGAGTGGGACTTTTGTGTGACATGAATTCAAATGAAACCGTTACACAAGGGCAATAGGAGAGAATACAGAAGAGGTGGAAGTTGTGGCTTTCTCTCTCCTGTGCAGTGCTGCCTTCAAATCTAAAGAGCCAAGATAATTAGCCATCTCCAGAGTGGCAGACATTCTGGCCATGGTGGGCAAAACAGACACCATCACTTGGTTCTCTGTGCATTACAAAAACAAGTTCTACTGTTTAAAATCATAGCCTGGTTTGGACCATACACTGCCTGTTGTTTTCAAAATCACACAGGGTTTAATTACTATTTTTCCATTCACTGCTGATAGCACTCATGGGATTTTGTCAGAATCAATTTCCTTAGAAACAGAACAGTGAAAAAAGAACCACACGTTAGGTGCATCATTAGGGTGCTTTGCCACACTGTCTAATCTAATCTAATACTACACAGTATGTCACAGTGAATGCATCCTTAACTTGCAATCTAAAGAAATACACAAAAAATGGGGTGGGTGGTGGGGGGCAGCCGCACGTGCCAGCAAATAATAAAACATAATATACCCACGCTTGTAGAAGACAGGATAAACACTGCAACGCAAACAGCTACAAGCAAACAAAGAGGTGATACAACACTGGTGAAAGGATTATGCCGTGTTTGTTGGTTTAAGCTTGCTATTACCAAGACAACACTCTAAACATGTACATTTACTAAGTAAATGAGAGAAAAGGTCATTCAAATACACCTAAGTACACTATCTAACCCTAACTACAAGGCTAGAGTCATCAAGGTCAACCCCCATACAGTTAAAGCCCACAGCACACAGTCCAAACATTTATCACTTCAGTGTAATGTTTGTCTTGCTTCATTACAGTATGAGCATGCATCTTTTCCAAGGTTGCCTGTGGGCACCTCCATGGGCTGAACTACACTAGGTCAGGGATCATAAAGCAAGTGAATGCTTTTATATAAGAATCACAACAAGACTGGTTTCATAGTTCATTTGTGTAAGGTGCAGATGTATCATTTAGTGATCCTGTGTATTAGGTGTCAGAAAGTGAAACCTGGCTGCAGCTCTGAGGCCCTGTAGGCATTCAGGCCTGAATCAGAAGACAGATGTAAGGTAATTGCCTTTCTATCCTCCTGAAACTTTCAGCTCTTCTTCCCCTGAAAACATCTCACCTCCTGCGGAGTTCCAGTAGATCTTGCTTCCTTCCTTATTAATATTTATATATTTTTACATTTACACCCCTCTGTTGGCAAGCACTGTCTGTCAGTTCAGCTGCAGGCTAAACAGAACCCATATCTGAAAAATATTAATCTGCCTTTGTCTCTTCTGTTTTATTTATTTATTTCCCACATATGAGAGGGGTGGGCTGATTTGAAAGGAGGAGTACCAGGCAGGGGGCAAAGCAAGGAAAATTTGCAGCTCTTTCAGCTGGCATCGTTTCAGCACCTCATACTTAAAGGGGGGTGGTGGTGATGGTGGTGGGGGTGTCAGGTTGCAACTTGAGCTGTGAAACAGCCAAAGGGTTGAGAGACAAGGTCTTTGCCAAAATAAAAACACAAAGGAGACACCCACACAGTTATTTAGACTTAAACCAGACCATTCTACATTGGTAGGGGAGGCCTGTGCCAGCATTAGGGAGGTCTATGTGTGCAAGTGCGTTCTTATCTAAGATAAACTCAGCACACAAAGACACAGATACATGACAGCACAAACACACAGCATCATAGCAAAGAGGTGGCAGGGCAAGGACAGGATGAGGAGAGATATTTTGTACAGTGAACCCTCTTCTTCTACCCAAGACATTACTCACTGGAGGGTGACACTGCTTGTCGGTAAGATTAGTGGGGAGCCATGGCTGAGGCGTCCAGCCTGCATACTGAGATAAGTGCTGACAAACACTTTCACCTACAGGAGCGTACCTAGCTTTGGTTCACAGAGGTTGCACTCACTGATGCAACACTACAGCCCGATGTCTAAAACCTAATTCTTCCCCTCCGTTTAGACATCACAATGACAGCCATTCACCAAACACTCTAAAACCTACACACAAACTGTGAAACTATTCTTAGAAGCTGCAGGGCTTGGTATCTTTTTGTAATACTACAAATGTGAATGTGTACATTTGTTTGGTTGTTATTACTCTTCTCTCCCTATTTACTGCAGAAAAAGACCTTCCATGCTTTCATAGACATTCTCCTGGGTCAAGAGCTAAAAAACACAGAGAGAAATTACAGCAGCTAGAAGCCCGGGGCCATACCCCAGCACCCAGACTCACCACCTTCTACCCACACTCTGATTAGAAAATAAACCATGCACACACAAACTGGGGGAGCTATAGAGAGGTAGCTCCAAGCTATAATATCATTTCATTCAAGTGCTTTTTGTACTTCATCCGGCAAAGTGCTATTACAATACTGCCATTTTCAATTCCACCCTTAGAGAAGTGAGACAATATATATGTCACTTGACAAAACATTCGAAACCTACTATATGTGCTGTCAGTGAGGTTTTGTATTACTGTTGATGCTGAAGGCAGGAGAAGGATAATGGTACACTATATAATGCTACACTGTGAAAGGAGATGTGCTCCATTTGTCTGGATGCAAGGTTTTTCTCCAGCTCTGACACGATCATTCACCCTCCCACTGGCCAGAGCTGACCTCTGACCCCCATCCAGATGCAAAAATTACCCCTTCAACAAGCAGGCAAGCAGCAGGTTCATATATTCCCTGTGCAGGGGTTTGCAGGTCAGACCAGAGAAACAGCTGCAAAAATATGTCTGTCTGGTTGTGCCCAAGGCCGTATCTCCTCTGAGAACTGACTAGAGATGCTCATCATTAGCACAACTCATCACCATCTCTCTTTGTCTGCCTATTCATTCCTGGAACTATCAGGGGTCATTCTCTGCCTTTTAATTCCGTCCTCTCAGTTCATCACTTTTTCCTCCAATTCCATAGCGTTGGCCCATGCATTACATCTTGCCCCCCTTACTCACTTTACTGGCTTGTCAGTGCTCTCTCTGCACTGACTACAAATGAGGTTCTGCAGATGAAGCCATATACATGCACATCCTATCATTCTCCATAGACCATGGCCAAACCTGATATGATCTCCACCACCACTCTCCCTATCTGCAAATCCTGAGCTAAGGGATTGTAAATAACACTGTCACTTTCACAGATAAGATGCAGGAAATATGGAAAAGAGTGAAGGTAAAGAGAATCATATGGTTGGCAGTGATACCATAGTGATGGGAAATCAGCTGGTGATATCATATGAAATGTGCATCTTTAATAGAGCCTTGGAGAGAATAAAAGAGACAGAGCATGGAGTGAAAATGCTGAGAGAAAAGGGACAAGACATACCACAACACAACAGGGAATGATGAGAGGATGCCTGATCAAGGTCAAACTGAGGAGGTGGCGAGGAGTACAAAGGTGCTGAATAAATGGGGCTGACTGTAAAGGAATGGATTGCATTCCATCAAACTCATACCACATACTATGCTTCTCAGATTGCATAGATAAAACAGCCAAAACAAACATCCTCATTTAAACAGCAGCTCATTTTTCAACCAGCACCTCTAATTTGGCCTAACAAGCCCCTGGGCAGTACAGTAATGACAGAAAGACACAGTGCAGGTGATTCTGGTGGCCAGTCCCAGAAAAATATGTGGTGCTTCATCCACCCATTCATTATCTATACTGCTTATCCTGAAGAGGGTCGCAGGGGGGCTGGAGCCGATCCCAGCTGACACTGGGCAAGAGGCAGGGTCCACCCTGGACAGTTCACCAGTCTATCACAGAACATGCAAACTCTGCACAGGAAGACAACGGGTCGGTCAGGGCTCAAACCCGGAACCTTCTTGCTGTGAGGTGACAGTACTAAT